ATTTATTACCATTTTTATCCATCTCTTCAAGTTTTCGTAGAAAATGCATTTTCTTATAATTTAGACCTCATTTATCACTATACCCATGGAATATTGACATTTTAGCTTCTTTTTAAAGACGTAACAAATTTTCAAAGGGTACAGATACTAATATTGTCGATATAGTTCGCTTATTTAATTAAAAAATAAAAAAAAACTGTTTAAATATTTTTTTGTTAAAGAGGACCAATTAATATGATCCCAGTATTCAAACTACATTAATTAACTGTTTACGTTGATTAATAATAATTGCTCCAAATACTAACAAACTGAATTTTGTATGTGTATTAGACAGTGTGGTAAAAAGTAACGCCTTATAAATTTTATTTCATTTTTTGACAAATGCTTATTTATAAAAACAGAGACGTTCATTTTCATAACTTATTAATATATCGATTTCTGAGCCAAATCTACATTTATTTAGAGTACTTCATTAATTAAAACAATTTAAAAGTATGTAATTTACTAGTTTCAGGGTCGGTCATAAAGTTGTGGCACATCAAACTTTTTTTTTTTTTAAATGAAACCCCCTGTATATTATTGCATATTTCAATTCTTCCTTCAGTTTTAAGCAATACTCGTAATACACGATGTACATAAATTGAAGAATTCAAATGTTAAACGATAATTTTGTAATTTCCAGACTTAAATGAAGCTGAACATATCGAAATTAATTAAATCAAATTGTTTAAGTGATATTTTCAAAAGTCAATAACTCGGAAACGGTTGGTTTGAGGTACATTGTGTGTATTTTGATTTTTGCTCAGAATTCAAGGAAGAACTGAAATATGCAATAATATACAGGGGGTTCCATTTAAAAAAATGAAACTTTGATGTGCCACGACTTTATGAACGATCCTGTATACTTAAATTTATTACCCGCTAATAGATATTTATAAACCTTATAACTTTTATATTTAACTTTTTGCGGTACCTCCTGTATTTTACCTAATAATCGACGGCTTCCATACATAACATTTGTTGAGTAAATTAAAATGTTTATTAATGGTTTAGTTATTTATTCTAATAATGTAATCAGATTTATATCAGATTATTGGTACTGCATTACGATTATTATTAGATCTGCAATTATTATTCTTATTAATAATTTCTGGTGTTCATTATTCCCACGGGAGAGGAAGAGTCTGAAATTTACTTTTCCCAAATAAAACGCATAAACACCGCGCTTCTCGGTCCCCGTATTTGTTCAGGCCCCATTGCCCATTAATAATTAATCATCGGTAAGGTGTGTCAATATTGTCTCTATACTTTCATTAATTTAAATTTTTAATTCAATATTTATTTTATATAAAGGATCGACTGAATTACTGGCCATCGGGGCTCGAATCTTTTTATTTTTATCGCATTTAGACGAACAAAAAGCAAGTTATTTTAAATTTCAAGACTTGTTTCATAAAAATTTGCCTTTTTGGCAATTACACAATGTTAACCTGAGATTAATCAAATAAATAAAAAATACATTTTTCAGCCTTGTTTAAAAAATTAATTAGAAATATAAGAAATGTCTTAAATCACACAGGAAAATTTACACACGAAATTATTGCACAGGGTGTTTTAAAGGTAGGGTGGAAAAACAACCCCTGTATAATATGCCAAATACAAAAGTTTATAAAACTTAGTTTACGAATTAAAGTTAATATAATTATATACAGTTTGCTAAAAAAAAATCAAGAAAATAGGGCTAAAAATAAGAAAAATATAACACTTCAAATTTGACCAAAAAAATTTCCGTTGCGTTTTTTTTGCATCTGATATTATTAATAATAAATAACGGTTTATTGTGTAAAAAGCCAAAATAGCTTCAAGTTATGTGAGAGGAAATAGCATGGTTTTCCCACGAAGACGCGAGCGAAACCGAACTTATAAATATAACCAAGCGCATTAAAATTGTCATTCTGTTCTTAACCATTGTATTCATTGTATCTGTTAAACATACTTTGTGAAAAATAAAATTTTTTAAAAAAGTATTTTCGTTGTCGAAATTGCAGAACACAAAAAAAGGCGTATCAATAAAATTTTACAATATAGGAAAATTGTAAATGGATATAATTTTAAGAGTTATAAAATATTAAATACTCGACTTTTGACCAGTGTGTGAGATGATCAAAATTTTAAAATTCAAAATTGTTCATGATTAAACATCAACATCGAACTGCTTTTTTATGAAGTTTGAAAATACGATCATATTTTGTTGCCCAGCAAGTACCCCAGAATGGAAGGGCATAACGAAGATGTGACTCTAAAAGGGCATAATAGACTATTCTAAAGGTTGATAAGTTAAGTGCCTTAGAAACTGATCTTAGCGCAAAAGAGGCAGCGCTTAGTTTCTTTGATAAAGCCTCGATATGCCAGTCTAATTTTAACGAGTTGTCTACAACAAGTCCTAAGAATTTCACAGAGTCCACGACGTTAATAGTGGTGTTATTAAGTACAAAAGGTTATATAGTACTTTTATATGACAAAACTTTAGTTTTTGGTAGGTTGAGGCATATAGGAGGTTAGAATCGCACCAAGATTTAATGCCGCTCCAAGTGAAACTAGTATCGTCCGCAAAGAGGCAGATTTTACCGCTATTGTCTAGATTTGCAATGTCGTTGATAAACACCAGAAACAAAATAAGGCCAAGTACTGAACATTGAGGGCATGGGCGCCGGAAGAATGAAATTTAGGGGGGGGGCAAGGTAAAAATGAATAAAAAATTGAAACACATTTTTGGTAATTATTGGGAAAACTGGAAATCGTCCGATTTTCACCAAAATTGGTATACACACTATTTTGAAGTCGTAGATTACGAATCTGGACCTTTTCTTGGCGGTCTCTTACCGTTTTTCAGAAAAACGGAAAATAATTTCAATATCGAATTTTTCTTAATTTCTTATATTTTTAAGGTTTTCTAGCACATATTTTGTTAGGTATTCAGTAATCAATGATGTTTTTGCTATTTTCTGTTACTTTTTTAACCAATTCTATGCATAATAAAGGAAAATTTGCTAAAATAAATTTGTAAAGAATATGAAAATGTTAGGTTATAGCTTTGTTCAGGTTCTTGTTATTACCGATTCTGAACCGTCCTAGAACTCTCTAGCGCATGCGCAAATGAAATAAGGTCTTCGTATTTCCTTCTGCGCATACGCATCACAGTTCAGGACGGTTCAGAATCGGTAATAAGAGAAACCCGAAGTAAGCTTTATGTGTTTCTGGCATTTAAAGCAACGTTGCCAATGCTAAACCTGTGTTTTTTTCGCTCATTCTGAATTACGAAAGGCGGTCGCCAGAAGAACGGCTCCTTCCCATAACTGCTATTTTACCAACGAGATCTGACTATTTATAACCACGAAGTTGCACGAAAAGAGTTTTGATTGCGTTTACAACTTCCACATGTGAGGGTGTTAATCTTTTGTTGTTATATTATATCAAAAAAAAGATTAACCCCCTCCGCAAAGAAGTTAAAACCAATGCAATCAAAACTCTTCCGCGTAACTTTGTGGATATAGGTGTATATTTAATTATTGTCGATCTTATAATAGGTAATTTATTTAAAATCCATAATCACCCGAAAAAATAGAAGATATGGCAACGTTGTAAATTTTCAAATTTCTAGAGTAGGTCTAGAATATATTTGTCTCTCTCATTACATAGGAGAGAGAAAGAAGGATATATCAAATGTCAAACTTCCATCTGGTCTCAATTTTCTTTGTTATTTTGTTAAGAAAAGTGTTTTTCAGTAAAATGTTGGACATTTTTCTATCCCCAATCAAGTGTGGCTTTTAAATAAACCATAATATAATGAAAATATAGCGAAATTATTACTTTAAAGGGGCGAAACAAAGAAAAATTCAATGTTGAAATAATTTTCCGTTTTTCTGAAAAACGGTAAAAGACCGACAAGAAAAAAGTAGATTCGTAATCTACGATCTCAAAATAGTGTGTATACCAATTTTGGTGAGAATCGGACGATTTCCAGTTTTCCCAATAATTACCACATTTTTTATTATTTTACAGGTAACACCTAAAAATTTCATAATAATGATTATTTTTTTACAGATGGATGTAAGAAGATAGCTTTTATTTTTATTGTTTCAATGGTCCAGGGGCAAATGCCCCCTCTTGAGGGACACCACAAGGCTTACAAGATGACATAGGCCGATAGGCTTACAAGATGACATAGGCCGATAGGCTTACAAGATGACATAGACGTATCAATCCTCACAAGCTGCCTTCTGTTGCCAAGATATGACCTAAGCCATTCGAACGGCACTCCCCTGAAGCTTGAAAGTAAATAATAGTTCTTTTTTATATTTTTTTGGTATGTAGTGTCTTGTTCTTGTTTGTTTTGTATTAACACATACCGTTTTTATTAAATAAAATAACTCGATTACATTTTTTCATTTTTATACAGTTTTTTTCACAATATTTTGAAGTAATCACTTGTCATCTTGTCAATCAAATTTTAAATATATCCTGCTATGCGTTCCAGTTGTACCAACTTATTTCTTTGTAAAATAAAATAAACTACTTTGAAATTAAAATGACAGACACATCTATTACTGTCAAGGATCTTCTCGTTGGACAGACTATACATGGACATTGCATGAACACTTTATGCGGAGGAATAATTATTGCTGTCTTAAGGCAGTTTGGAAAAACTTCTTTTTGGAATGACTCGTTAATTAAAGTAGTAAGATGGATTAATGTGCATTCCGGAAGTTCAGAGAACATTTTGAGTGTAAGCCCATCAGTCCCAGATGAGGATTTGTTTTTAATACTTTTAATTGTACTACGGAGCTCATCTGAGTGTATATGATCTAGGTTAAATCACTAGAAGCGTCTCAATCCTATATGGCGGTTCTTCGGATGATGTTGGTAAAGGAGGAGGGAAACTCCCCTTTGAGAGGAAGGAAACTTTGGCTTCAGTAAGAAATATTTAACAAAGTACTTACCTAGAAACTCAGCCGAAGCCGATCCAAATCCACCGCCGGCCGCGGCTATGTGTCCGAACCCGAATCCCCCCGCGTGGCCCCCTTGGAACATCGGCGGTCTGGGCGCGGTGGTCGACGTGGTAGGCCTAGGCCGCGCCAAAATACTATCTATGGTAAACAAGGAACTACCGCCCGTGGTCGAGGCTGAGGTTTGGGCCACAGCCTTTCTGTACACCGGCTTGAAACCCTCGCCCATTTGGTTCAGGAACATAAAGTGCTGCGGCAGAACCGGGCCTTGGGGCACGGATGTTTCCACCATTCTGGAAAAAGACAATTTTGTTTCACGAAATCGATATTATGCCGGGTCCAGACCAAAACGACAAAAAGTGAACACGATTTTGAGACAAAAACAAGACAAACTTGAGACACAAATTGTCCATATCGCAAGGACAAAAGTACAACAAAATCAAAAGTTTAGTTTTATTAACCATGTGTGATTTCACTGGTCTCCTACTGTTGGCAGCACACGCCATCCACACTGCGCCGATAACTTGTCGTGAAATATACGAACAAAACATAGACACTTTGAGCTTTACCGACTCGAGCCGGGACATTGAAAAGTCTCCGAATTTTGAAACAAAACAAAAATGAGACAAAAATGTCGCAGAAATAATGTATTGGATTTGTCGCAATTTTGTCGTAAAACATGAATGTTTCTGTCTTGTCGATGTTTTGTCTGCTTGGTCTGGACCCGGCATTAATCTTGGAACTTTCCGTTTTTTTGTTGCAAAACATTTTGGAAAAACTGTTATTTCTAAAGAACAGTTAAAACAGTTTACTGTGTTATCTATAAATAACAGTTAAAAATAACAGGCTTCTGTTATATAGGGTGAATATGCCAGTAGTCGGACATGCACCCGTGGTCGGTCAAAATGTATTATTTATTGGGAAATAAGTTAAAAATATGGCTTTAGAATTTTTTTAGAATTTAGAATGAGTGGGAGGGGGGTAAGTCACTTCGACCTTACAGATCCATTGTGTCCCCCTTTCTTGAATCATAACTCATCATACAGTCCCAGGGCTTTGACAAAAGCCAGTATCTGGGACGGTTTTATAGAGGGTAGTTCTCCATCTCCAATATCAGTCGTACCAAAATTCATGGCACGAATGGTTGTCGTCTCGGCGCACTCAGTGATGAGGTGTACTGGTGTTTCACCATCTTCCCCACAGAATCTGCATTCGCCGTTTCTTCTTAGTTTTCAATCTACTGAGGTGTTCATTGAGGAGACAGTGTCCTGTTAAAACCCCGTGACAATCCGAAGATTGTTCTTACTCAGACCCAGGAAGATCTGTGATTTTCTTGATCATAAGCCCTCAGAAACTTCTTCGAGTGTCTTAGACCATTGCAAGATTTCCATTCCAGGTTGCGGATGGAATCTTCCAAGTTCTTGAGTTCCGCCTTGAGTTGGTTACCACTTGGAAAGCAGAACGGTTCCGGTCCAGTTAGTGGAGTGTTCGCTCCTTTCCTAGCTAGATTATTTGCTTTTTCATTGCCTTCTATCCCTTGGTGAGCAGGCACCCAGTGTAGGAGGACTTTGTTTTCTTTGCCTAATTTATTCAGCTTCTCTATGCATTCTTTGACCAATTTCGAATTGATTGATACTGAGTTGATCGCCTTTAACGCTGCTTGACTATCAGATAAGATGGCTATTTCTTGTTTCCGATAGTTCCTATCTAAGATAAGTTGTACGCATCTCTCGATAGCGTAGATTTCTGCCTAAAAAAATATGGCTTAGTATTGCTTAAAATAATTCAAAACCCAATGCTGCCAATTCTTCTGCTTTGTTCTACAGGGTGGTGCGAACTGTATTCCGGAAACTTCGACAGCATATTCTGCAGATAAAAATAAGTGAAAAAGTTCTTATAAATGTATGCCCTAAAATGCTTAGTTTCGGAGATACAGGGTGTAGATGTTTTTTTCCAAATAATTTCCGAAGTAACGTCAATATTTGGATGAAAATTGGTGTCTGGGAGTTTTTTGACTGCAAAATTTATCTGCAAAATATGCTGCCGAAGTTTCCGGAATACAGTTCGGACCACTCTGTATAGCTTGCTAAAAAAATCATGAAAATAGAGCTAAAAATAAAAAACTTTAAATTTGAGTAAAAATTTCTCCGTTGCGTTTTTTTGCATCTATCTGCTGAGTGTATTTCATAAAATTTCATTTCCATGCCATCAATAAAGAAAATTTGATCAATAATTTAAACTCGGCTTTTTCGAAACTGTCCGACCACTGGCATATTCACCCTATATCCAATAAAATTGTTATTTGAAAAAAAAATTACGGGCCAGCTGATTTTTTTGTAAAATAAACAAAATAGGAAATTTTCCCCTTGTGGTTTTTGAGCAATAGGGCTGTTTTTTTTAAACTGTGTTACAACAAAATAATTAGACGCAAATTGTACATAAGAACATTCTCTATAAATTTGCCTAATTAATTTTTTTACAAGTTTATTATTTCCGGACTTAGCGGCCGTTTCATGAGCCCTTTGGGGTGGTTTTCAAAAAGTTTGTTTTACAGCAAATAGCCCGCATGAAAGTTGTTCATAATAAATGGACAAGCAACTTTTCCTCATGATTTTTTTTGTAGCTTCATTATTTTTGGAGATAGCGTCCAGTTCATGAACAAATTGGGGTAGTTTCATAATTTTTGTTTAGTTTTACAAATTTGCCATTATTTTTATGTTTTTAAGATGTTTGTATTAAAATTACATGCAAACTTCCCTATGATATGTATTTATTTCCCCAAAACGAAACGCGGAATTCATCAATTTTTCACATAAACACTTGTGAATTTCCTGAAAAAAAAGACATTTAAAGCTACCAATACTTGTTCATGATCTGGGCGCTATCTCCAAAAATAGTCAAGTTACAAAAAAAGTTCATAGGGCAAAGGTATATGTACTCTTATTTTGAACGAGTTTCCTAGGGTGAATTTGCTGAAAAAAGAGTAACATTGAAAACTACCCTAATTTGTTCATGAACTGGACGCTATCTCCAAAAGTAATCAAGCTACAAAAAAAATCATGAGGAAAAGTTGCTTGTTCATTTATTATGAACAACTTTCATACGGGTCAATTTGCGGTAAAACAAACTTTTTGAAAACCACCCCAAAGGGCTCATGAAACGGCCGCTAAGTCCGGAAATAATAGACTTATAAAAATTCATTAGGCGAACTTATAGAGAATGTTCTTATGTACAGTGTGTCCCATTTTGGTTGAAATCATAGGGTATCTCCGATATTAGTGAAGATAGAAGGGTGCGGTTTGCACAAACCTGTCCCACTTTTTCGTCAAACCGAAGATGCTGCAAACAAAATTTTCATAGCCCTCTTCATTTCTGAGCTATAGGGTCTTTTCAAAAATTTTGCAATTTGGGACACCCCCTGTATCTCTGTTATTGTTAAAGGTATCGAGAAGGCGAAAACTGCTTATTGTAGAACTTTTTACGTAGAATACAGTGGCATAGTCTGTTTTTCTACCAAAAAAATATTTTTGAAAATATGAACTAAAGTTATGTTTTTTCAAACGGAACACCCTATATATTTATAAATCATATGATCTGTTTTGCTATGAGCTTCTCAAAAATATATATCACTCTATATTTATTTTTACTATTTACTGCAATATTTAAAATATATCATTTTCTTATTAGTAGGCCGTGATAAATAACAAAAAATCAAAATGGTATTTACTAAAATAGTCATACACATATTAAAATTTATCTGGGATTGATATATTTTACTTTCGAAATAACTGTTACCACTGAAACTGTGAATATATTTTTCTTTTTTTATAACGGGATGGGTTTGCAAATATCTAAATCTTGAATTATTAAAGCATTTTTCAGGTGTTCGAAATTGTTGTAGTGCCCACGATATATTTCGTATTTCGAAAATCCTCAAAATCAGAAATCGAGAACGACGAAATCCGGGAATCGAGGAGGCTATCAATATGTGTTCATTGGTTCCAATTCATTGATTTGAAAAATAATAATTTAACAGTATTCTAATATTTCCATAGTTATGTGGGGGAATGTTCCCCATCTTGCTGAAAGTATATTTGACGTAAATTAGCTAAAGGAATATCTAAAATTGCCGATACGATAGATTAGTCTTACGTATACACGTAGTCCAAGATTTACAAATAGCGGTAGAGACTTAAGTTTCCCTAATATATAAAGAATTTATTAGCGGCTCCCAAAATAAAACAAGAGACAGATAGCAGTATACTTTTAATAATTCTTTAGTTTCTTTTATTACCAATCATGGCCTACTAATAAATATGATCTTTTAATAAAAACTTTTAAATATTGCAGTAAATAGTGAAAATAAATATACAGTGATATATATTTTTGAGAAATTTATGGCAAGACAGATCATATGATTTATAAATATACAGGGTGTTCTATTAAAAAAAACATAACTTTAGTTCATATTTTCAAAAATATTTTTTTGGTAGAAAAACAGACTACGCCACTGTATTCTACGTAAAAAGCTCTACAATAAACAGTTTTCACCTTCTCGATAGCTTTAACAATAACAGAGATACAGGAGGCGTCCCAAATTGCAAAATTTTCAAAAAGACCCTGTAGCTCGGAAACGAAGAGGGCTATAAAAATTTTGTTTGCGGCATCTTCCGTTTGACAAAAAAGTGAGACAGGTTTGTGCAAACCGCACCCTTCTATCTTCACTAATATCGGAGATACCGTATGATTTCAAGCAAAATGGGACACCCTGTAGAATTTGTGTCTAATTATTTTGTTGTAGTACAGTTTAAAAAAAACACCCCCATTGCTCAAAAACCGCAAGGGGAGAATTTCCGATTTTGTTAATTTTACACTCAGAAGACAGTCGCTGACGAACTCTGAAAAAATCAGCTTGCCCGTAATTTTTTTTTTCACTCTCTATATGGCGATACAATTTTACTGGATTATTCAAAAACTGTTTCCGGTAGGGTACTTATTATACCGTATTATTCTTATATACATAATCTAATATCTATAGGTACCTGTAGTCTTCCTCGCCGTAGTCCTCAGCTCCGCTGGACTCGCACCACTCCAAATCCGTCTCCCGTTTGACGTGAGCAGCCAGCTTAAAACGGTCGGTCGATCTCCAACAACGTCTCTACTACTATCTTTTAAGGACCTATTCACACGAACACGACCGCTGTGCACTCCGTCGCGTATAGAAATCGCGTCGCGGAGCCCATTTCTAAGGGACCGCCGGCCGAGACGCGGCCACGCCCTCCCCGGCCCCTCATTGGCCGGACGCGACCAATGGAAGCTGTCCGCGGCTTACCCCCGGGGGTGTGCAACGCGAAAACGTGGTAATATGGAGGCGGGGGGGCCGAGGCAGAAGGGGGCGCGAGAGAGAGACGCGGAGAAATCGAAATCGTTTGTCCCCCTTTGTGATATTTGCTGGGGCGTGTATCGGTAATCGGCTAGTTATTCAAATTAAGGGCATTATGCTTTCTGAGCGGGGGGTGGGGGGGAGGTAAGGGAAAAAAGGAAACGAAAAAAAAATGTGCGTGTGTGCGTTCGGAACTGCCGAGATTAGCGCGTGGACCCGGATTATCTCTTAACGAATTTTGTTGCTTATATACGGGGTATTACCAGATATTTTATTTAATGTCTATAGCGATATCTTTATTATAATACTGAGCGACGGATTATCTGTACAGGGTGGGTCAAATTGATATAATTATATACAGTTTGCTAATAAATTCATGAAAATAGAGCTAAAAAAAGTAACAAAAATATAACACTTTAAATTTGATCAAAAATTTCTCCGTTGGGTTTTTTGGCATCTAAGTGTATATTATTACCCGACCATACCAATAGTTATGACAGGCTATTAAGATGGGCAAAAAAAAAGTTTTTTTAATTTCACTCAAAATGAGTTATTTGGGTCATAAATGACCTAAATACAAAATATTTTGGTGGTGTCTGTCTGTCTGTCCGTCTGTATAACACGAAAACCGCTAAACCGATTTTAACCAAATTTGTGAGACAGGAAATTGTAGAGAGAAACAAGCCCTATAACACCTATAACATAGGATACAACATTTTAATGAACAGTGCTTTCCATAAAATCAATAAAATGAAAAATATACGAAATAATATACATGTACTGATCTCTTTCGAAAATCGACAACTATGAAAATATGAACCCTTCCCGGACACAAACGGTACATTGTGAAGCAGGAAATTGTAGAGAGAAACAAGCCTTATATCATAGGATACAACATTTTAATGAACAGTGCTTTCAATAAAATCAATAAAATGAAAAATATACGAAATAATATACATGTACTGATTTCTTTCGAAAATCGACAACTATATGAAAATATGAACCCTTCCCAGACACAAACGGTACATTGTGAAGCAGGAAATTGTAGAGAGAAACAAGCCCTATAACATAGGATACAACATTTTAATGAACAGTGCTTTCCATAAAATCAATAAAATGAAAAATATACGAAAAAATATATATGTACTGACTTCTTTCGAAAATCGACAACTATGAAACTATGAACCCTTCCCGGACACAAACGGTACATTGTGAAGCAGGAAATTGTAGAGAGAAACAAGCCCTACACTGATAAAAAAGATAGACTTGAACTAAAGTCGTCATCGTTCTTGAAAAAAAAAATTAGTGGCAAGAGAATTTATTTTACCGTAAAAGAAAATATTTTGCTTGAAGAAAAACTCTCTTAACTCAAGAAAACTGGTTCTCTTGAAAAATTTGAAAATTTCTCTTGAATCTATTTTCATTCAACCAAGTGCAAGTTACTTTGTTTTAAGATAATAAGAAAAATACGCTAGGAAGTACTTCATTCAAGAAACATGGCCATTTTTCCAATAGCTAAATACTCTTTTGATGAAAAATAAGAAGGACACGCAAAGACGATGACGAAGGACGGTATATACAATCAGTCGGCAGTCCGATCAGTCGTACGTCGCATTTCATAGGTCGCACATCATAGTACGCACGGGTTTTGTTGCTTGGAATTTTCCACTTGGAATTTTGCATAATTTGCTTTTTAAACGCATATCGTTAACAAATTAGTGATCGTTATTAACATGCATTTGTCATTTTTTATAGACAAATTTTAGGATTATGGATTCTTTAAAGGAGTTTCTGAAAAAATGGATATTAGAGCATTTATTTGCTATATTTGAAGGTAAGAGACATTTACCTAATGCACCTGTTTAGATAATGCGTGTGTGACTATAGATAGAATAAGAATATAGGTTTCGATTTTTTTATGCAAATAATTACTAAAATTTTAGAATTTCAAGTCGTCGTATTAAAAAATTCAAAATGTGACCAAAGCTAATAATTTTAATAATTTATTTGCTTTACTTTGATTAATCGTGATGTAACATTTTTTTGCAATTTGTAGAGTGATGAACCACCCAAAAAAATACCAAGGAGTGAAGAAGCAGAAATAACTACTATCGAGGAAAATAATATCACTTTACTTACTACAGACCAGGAAAACCTATAAATTTATCAGAAAATAATATACCTCGTAATATGCCTGTATATGATGTATAGACTTCTCTTAAATCAAAATAAATTTTATTTGAGTCAAAATAGTATTCGCTATTGGTTTAAGAAAAGTGTCTCTTTAATCAAGAAAGGTCCCTTTTCAATCAAGAATTTTTGCATGAATCAAAGAGACTATGGTTCTTGTAGCAAGAACTTCTTTGCATATTCATTTTGGGCCAAGAGTGAAATACTTTGGACAGGTAGATTCTCTATTCTCTAAAGTAATTTTTTAAAGCTTGTGAAAAGATAGTTAATGCTTTGGGTAAAGAAACGTCGTTCTTGGCCCTATTGAAAAGCGCCAATCTTTTGGGTCAAAGTCATATTCATTTCGACTGCGAGATCCGTGTATTTTCAGTATATAACATAGGATACAACATTTTAATAAACAGTGCTTTCCATAAAATCAATAAAATGAAAAATATACATGTACTGACTTCTTTCGAAAATCGACGACTATGAAACTATGAACCCTTCCCGAACATAAACGGTACATTGTGAGACAGGAAATTGTAGAGAGAAACAAGCCCTATATAACATAGGATACAACATTTTAATGAACAGTGCTTTCCAGAAAACCAATAAAATGAAAAATATACGAAATAATATACATGTACTGATTTCTTTCGAAAATCGACAACTATAAAAATATGAACTCTTCCCGGACACAAACGGTACATTGTGAAGCAGGAAATTGTAGAGAGAAACAAGCCCTATATAACATAGGATACAACAGTTTAATGAACAGTGCTTTCCATAAAATCAATAAAATGAAAAATATACGAAATAATATACATGTACTGACTTCTTTCGAAAATCGACAACTATGAAACTATGAACCCTTCCCGGACACAAACGGTACATTGTGAAGCAGGAAATTGTAGAGAGAAACAAGCCCTATAACATAGGATACAACATTTTAATGAATAATGAACAGTGCTTTCCATAAAATCAATAAAATGAAAAATATACGAAATAATATGCATGTACTGACTTCTTTCGAAAATCGACAAGTATGAAACTATGAACCCTTCCCGGACACAAACGATACATTGTGAGACAGGAAATTGTAGAGAGACAAGCCCTATAACAGTTTAATGAACAGTGCTATCCATAAAATCAATAAAATGAAAAATATAAGAAAAAATATACATAGATACAGTAATTTCAACAAATGACATAAAAAGCTGGAACTAAAGGAAAGGACTGGAACTATTTGGTATGGAAAATTAGATACCTATACCTGAGATATGATGTTAACTTTCCAAGTCAAAAACGCAACTTTATCGGCAAACTTTTTGATCACACGGTATTTTGTATAAACAAAAAATACAGAAAATACATCCTCGACATCTGTTGTCTCCCACCCGGTTGAAATTTGTTCTGGGCGGAGTGAGTCCCCATGAAATATGTACGATTGGCCGAGGCGGAGTATTCTCATTTCCTTCGCTAATCCCCTTAATCCTGCCTGCCTTCAGCGCATCGATTTCACAGCCAATGCCTGCCCGAAACCTACCAAGCCGTTTCCAAGTTTCTGGTTTTAATTCCATCACGACAACGTTGCTGCTAAGATTTATGTTTAGCAATAAACTACAGGGTGTTTCGTGCACTTGAAAAAGTGGACCAATATAGGATATACAGGGTGGCGCCTCTCATACGCCGCGAAAGCTCCAAGGAGAACGGTAGTTAAAATATACAGAATTATACAGGGTGCCTCGAAAAAAAGTTACACACTCTATATATTAATTGATTTTCGGATTCCAGGAAAAAAATAAAGCTAAGTTTTATTAAAGAAGCATATACCTAAAATCTAAGAATTTTGACATATTTCACAATTTGTAAAAAGGAAGAGTAAATTTTAAATTTTGATAAGAGTAGGTAGCTCTCAATTTTAGTTGACCTTGTATAGCCTTATATTTAACTACAGTAACCATTGTATGTTAAACCAAATTGAAATTTGACCCGAAAAGTTATACAGGGTGAGACAAAATGAATATGGAACATTAGCACAAATTAACTACAACAGATGCGAAAGAACACCGAATTACGCGTTCAGGTTTCTCAGAAAGAGTTCGTAGACAATCCGCATCAATGTATAGTTTGGGTGAAAATACTCTGCACCAATATGTTATCGAGGCATATAATCTCACAGTAATTTAATAGATTGCTCGTCATATTATATCAGTTCGTAGGAGATTAGGAAAAAAAAGATATTTATAGTATAAAAAATTAATTTATTTAACAAAATTTAATTAAAGATGTGACAAAATAGTTACTTTTCTATTGGTTCTATCGGACTTTTTTCGACTATATAAATCTTTATTTTTTTAATAAATAATTTAATGATGTAAATAAGAGGAAATTTCTCACATGGGTGGTCAAATTCTATAGTTTTCATTATATCAAACAGCCTCTGAATGTTTTCTTCAGTGCAAAACTCATCAAAATTTAATATAAATAATTTTTCCATTTCCAGTAAATAAAATGAACAAATTTTTCCACTTTCATGATCAAAGGCTTTTAAATGGGTAAATAATTTCGAGTTATCGAGAGATTCGGATTCTTTTGCAAATTTTAGACAAATATCACATTGATGTATTTGAAGAACCTTTTAATTGATGTAGTCAAACATAATTGAAGGCATTTTGAGTTGAAAACATTTCTCAGAGGCTGTTTGATATAATGAAAACTATAGAATTTGACCACCCATGTGAGAAATTTCCTCTTATTTACATCATTAAATTAT